GCCGTTTAACCCCATTTTACAGATGAGAAATCTGGGGTTCAGTCAAGTTAAGTAACTCACCCAAGAACACAGATATGAAGCAGTAAGAGCTGCCTTTTTGGTACTTGTTATTCCAAGCGCCTGAAACAGTGGCTGGCAGAGGAGTTACTCAATACATAGTTGCCTAATATTAAGGAAAAGCATCTCACATCACACATCTACGTACCTCCTTCCCTCTTGACCTCTCAATGTTGGCGGTTCCCTGAGCTCAGTCCTTCAGCCACTTCTCCTTTCTGTTTCAACTCTTCCTTGAGTGATCTTGCTCATTCCCATGTTTCACATGCTGTGTTTCATATATCTTTTTGTATGCTACTCAAATCTATTTCAAACTCCCCCTTCCCTGAGCTCCAGACTCGTATCTTTTAGACCTTCCACTTGTGTGTCAAGCAGATAACTCTAACTTAACATGCTCAAAGCTGAACTAGTGATGCTTTTCCCCAAACCCACTCCTTTCCCAGTTTTCCCTATCTCATGAAATGGCCACTTCTCTCTTGGCAGTTCAGAACAAAAACAGGGGTCCCTCACGATTATCCTCCTCTATAGCTTATACAGGACCTATAGAGTATCCAAAACGTATCCCAAATTTGAATACTTCCATCTTCACTGCCATACTCATCTCTTATCTGGCTACCTGCTATAGGATCTAACTGGAATCCCTGCTCCCACACCCTTACTTCTTCCCCCTAGTCTTTTATTTTTAATTGTAATGAAATATACATACCATGAAATTTACCCCTTTAACCTTTTTTTTTTTTTTTTTTTTTGAGACGGAGTCTCACTCTGTTGCCCAGGCTGGAGTGCAGTGGTGTGATTTTGGCTCACCACAACCTCCACCTCCCGAGTTCAAGCGATTCTCCTGCCTCAGCCTTCCGAGTAGCTGGGATTACAGGTGTGTGCCACCATGCCCAGCTAGTTTTTGTATTTTTAGTAGAGACAGGGTTTCACTCTGTTGGCCAGGATGGTCTCGATCTCCTGACCTAGTGATCTGCCCACCTCAGCCTCCCAAAGTGCTGAGATTACAGGCGTGAGCCACCGCGTCCGCCTTTAACCGTTTTTAAGTGTACAATTCAGTGGCACCAAGTACCTTCACACTCTTGTGTAACCATCACCAAATTTATATGTACAACTTCTTCATCATCCTAACAGAAACTCTGTTTCCACTATATATTAACTCCCTGTCCCCTCCCTTCCTTTAGCCCTGGTAACCTCTACTATATTTTCTTTCTCTATGAATTTGCCTACTTTAGGTGCCTCATATAAGCACAATCATACAATATTTGTCTTTTTATGTCTGTTTGTCTTATTTTACTTAGCATAGTTTTCAAGTTTCATCCACATTGTAGCATGTATCAGAATTTCATTGGTTTCTAATGCTGACACACACACACACACACACACACTCACACACACACACTTTATCTTTATTCATGGATGACAGATTAACATCTGGGTTGTCTCTACCTTTTGGCTATTGTGAATAATGTCATTATGACCAGTATCTGTTTGAGTCCCCACTTCCAACTTTTTTATACCCAGAAATGGAATTGCTGGATTACTTGCAATTGTATGTTTATCTTTTTAAGGAATCACCAAACTGCTGTCCATGGCTGCTGCACCCTTTTACATTCCCACAAGAAAAGCACAAGGGTTCCAATTTTTCTACCCCCTCACTAACACTTGTTAGTTTCCTCTTTATTAATAGCCATCCTAACAGCTGTGAAGTGGTCTCTCATAGTCTTCTTAATAAAACAAATAATGTCCTTTCAAAACCCCAGTGGTCTCCTATTTCACTTAGAACAAAGCTTAAAGCCTTTATCATCACCTATAGACTCTCTAGGAACCCTGAGACCTCTTCGTTCTCTGTTGAGCTTCCTCTGCTCCAGCCACAATGGCCTCCTAACTGTTCTGGAACATGTCAAATCCATTTCAACTCAGTGTCTTCGCTCTTGCTATTCTTCTGCTTAGAACAGTTTCTCATCATTATCACATGGCTTTGGCCTAATTAATATCTCTGATCAAATGTCACTTCTTCAGAGATGTTCACATCTTTAGATGTCACATCTGAAGATGTTCTTCAGAGAGGACATTCCTAGCACCCAATCTAGATAGCCTCTCCTGACCTTTGCACCACAGCTTCTGTCTATTGCTTGCTTTGCTTCATATACCTTATTCTTCATAATCCATCTCTCTCAGCAGAACGTAAGTTCTATGTGGATGGCGGACTTTTTATTCATTTTTGTGTCCCAAATACCTAAAACAGTGTCAAGCAAATTTAAGTACTAATTATTAAAGGCAGGCAAGGTTATCTATTTATAGACTTGATAGTCTGAGATTTTTATGGTACAGAATCTTAATCTACTTATGTTTATAGCTTTCATAATAGATGGCAGAAGATTCTTTGATATCTGAAAATATCTTTAAAATGTCTTTTCTTCCTTTTTTTGGGGAGGGAAGCATGATTTTGCTATTATCTATTGGTCAGTTAAGGAAAGAAACATCTACTGATATTCTGAATAATAGCAATAATATCATTGAGCATTTACTTGTGCCCTGCACTGTGCTATGAAGTTAATATAGATTATGTCTAATTTTCAGAAAATTATATAGGGTGTTTTCACTTTACAGATAAGAAAACTAAGGCTCACGAAGGGTACACTGCCCAAGATCACATAGCAAGTAAGTGGAAGGTCAGGAATTCCAACCAGGCACTGTCTGACTCCAAAGGTTATTGCTTATTCCACACACCATTTTGCAAGAAGTCATACTCAGCAGTTTGGAGGCCATAGAGAATTATATCCCACAATCTCTCCCTTAAGGACCATGCTGGCTGGGCATGGTGACTTACACCTGTAATCTCAGTATTTTGGGAGGCCAAGGCAGGAGGATCACTTGAGCCTGGTAGTTCAAGACCAGCCTGGGCAACATGGCAAGTTCTCACCTCTACAATTTAAAAAAACAAACAAACAAACAAAAATAGCCAGGCATTGTGACACATGTCTGTGGTCCCAGGAACTGGGGAAACTGAGGCAGGAAGGTCATTTGAGCCCAGGGAGTTCGAGGCTGCAGTGAGCTATGATTGTGCCACTGCACTCCAGTCTGGGTGACAGGGTGAGACCCTGTCTCAAAATAAAGGGAACATGCTGTTTAGTTAGTAGTATGACAAAGTACTGATCCACATGTAATTTAAAGGATATCAGTCAATACAACGGACAACAAAAGTTGGTGCCTCCATTATGTTCATGGTAATTAGAGGGATTTTGAGGAGGACGTCACCCCTAGGGGCTCTGGTGGTCAGGAAGTCATCCTGGAGGGAGTGGGACTTGAGCCGGGTCCTGTCAAATGGGAATGAGCTGAGCGAGGCATGTGGGAGGTGAAGAGGGTCACTCCAGCTGTGGGAACCACCTGAGCATTGGCCTAAAAACAAAAAGGAGTGAGCGGCATTTGGTCAAAAATGGGTAAAGTGATCTACTTGGAATTGACAGCTTATTTCTGGAGGAGTTGAGGAAAAGGAAGAACAGTAGCTCATCTTTATCGAGCACTTAGTAAATGATATCAAGCACTGTCTATCTGCTATATTAAGTATCATGTATTTAATTTGCAGAACAACTCTATGAGATTGATACTCTGAGTTACCCATGTAACATAAAAACTGAGTCTAAGGGAGAGTCAAGGGTGCACAGTGAGACATAAGGATGCATAGGCCAACTGTGTCAAGATTTTGAATGCTGCAACCAAGTACTTGTCTTTGCCCTGTATGCACTGATTTTCTTTTTCTTTCTTTTTCTCTTTCTCCCTCCGTTCCTTCCTTCCTTTCCTTCCTTCCTCTCTCTCTCTTTTTCTTTCTCTTTCTTTCTTTTCTTTCTTTCTCTCTTTCTTCTCTTTCTTTTTCTTTCTCTCCTCTCTTTCTTTTTCTTTCCCTCCCCCATCCCTCCCTCCGTCCCTCCCTTCCTTCCTTCCTTTTCTTTTTTTTACCTGCTTGAAGTTTTACCATGTTTTAATAATAACCAGTTGTACTACCCAGATGTGACATTATCTACCAGCTCCTCTCTCACCTGTGCTATCCTGAGTAACACGCATCTAAGTATGCTTGCATCAAGATGAATCTCCTAGTCTCCACTCATTCTAGACTGTCACTCCTAAACCCTACTAATTGAAATTCCTTAGTTTATGCCTGTAATTCACCTCTTGGTTCCTCCATTCAAAGACTTATCTCCCAGCCATCAAAATCCATATAATTAATTCATTTGTAGAAAAAATGACTGTGGAGTTTGAGAACTGTTTCATAGATGAATGACATTAACTAAGGATATCATCTCTAGAAAGCCTGGTGTTTCTGTAAGTTATAAACTATTCATCTTAATTCAGAGAGTTAATTATCAACATAATAAATATTTGATTCTTCCAGCTACCTATATAAACTATAGTATTTGAAAACTGTCTGACTCCAAGAGTCAGTAAAATAATTCCTGTACTAGAAAAGTCACCATTTTATAATTTCTCCCCCATTACTTCTCATAATTCCCATAAGATTACCTAGTATCAGGTGATATGTGTCTGCATATTAAAGATCATATTGTCAAGC